AGAGGAATGGTGCTAGATGGATATGCGCGTGATATTTTTTGAACAAAAAATAGTGAGACTGATTAATTTGGAGAAGAGATAAATGGAGATTGAATTCATTTTCCCCCCAACACAATAATACCCTTATCATCCTGATATATAATTGAATCTTATAGAATACATGGCGAAGCCTAAAAATTGAAAAAGACAATAATACCCTTATCATCCCCCCAACACATGACTACCATATATATAGAATGACACATAAACTCTCAACAAGACTAAGATGGTGCAACCAAGCTTATTTATAAAAAATATTAAAGAAAGTTTTTACATAGACATTACACAGAGAGGGCCAACGTGAAACTTTGGTAACATGAAGGAGTTTAAACTGAAAACTGATTAAAAAATAAATGTAAAGTATTGAATACCAAATCCAAGCCCCTATACAAATAAATAACAAGAAGAACATAAAGTACTTTGTATTATAGGATTAGTTTTCCTATTAGGACTTTGTGTCTTTACCTGTTAGGACTCATGGATTTCTTATTTATATATCTCTTGCAAACCATATGGGGAGGTTGTGATAGGCCAATGTATCCCCTGAGTTTGTATCCAACTCGTCTATATTGATCATTACCGGTTGGTGCCCGTCGCTTTTCCATGTTAAATTTGTGTATCCGTTATGCATCTATTTTCATAACAATCATTACATAAGAGGTACACATGGGCAATGTTGTTCCATCCTAAGCAGAGATGCATACAATGTCTACAGTAATTTGACATCGTAGAGAAGGATTAGGTCACCAGACAAACTGATGCAAATCTATAGGGGCTGAAGTGTATATTAAAGTGGATTAGCAGGTAACCGTTAGGGAAGATATTCAGATTGAAACAAATTTTTCAAGAGGATTTGGTGTTGCACAGATATATGCATGATTTATAAGTCCCAGATGAGAAAGGTGAATGAGGAGGATTTATAAGTCACTTTTGCAGTCATTTGCACCTAACACAAAAGAATTTCTGTACATATCCCACGAATTGGCCCTATTTGGACTGTTGAAACATGTTGATGGGCAACTGGAAATATAACCATAGTATTTCAAATATCAGGGGAATTAGCAGTTTTGTAACACACTTGACCTTTCGAGAGAAAACATAGAGTTTAAACCTCACCGTTATTCATGTTAAGTCCACTAAAATTTTTGTGTCATTAGTACATGGTGTACTGCTTGAATGGTTCCCCCCAAGTGGTATCCATTACTGAAATTTTAGCAAAACTCAATTATATCTTGGTTGAAATTTAATTGCAAAGTCCAAGTAGCAGATAAGTAAAGTATCCAAAAGAACAACAATCTTATGTTGAAATTTCCCCAAAGTTGCAGTTCATGCATCTCTTTATTGACATTACCAGTCTCAAAATTTACAATTTCCTCTAGGGAACCCAACGAGAAATGTTGATGAGTACATCGCACCACAAAAACTCTCTTACCGAGGCATTCAGCTCGTTAATTCTGTGAAATTTGGCAAAATTCTCAATCTTTTCTTTTCCTCGCCTCTCAATCATAAGCAAGTTACCAAATTTCCCATGTCTCCTAATCCTATTACAAAATAAGAAACAAGAGATTCAATGGGACTTGAGTAGTGCTCAACAATCTCCGATAAGTATGAAAAGGAATGAATTCTAGATCATGATCAACGCCGTAAATGAAATTATCTCCACCTACTAGGCATGGCTACCACTAAGAAGAGTGCAAAAATTAGGGAACTAATAACCTAACACTAAACAGAGTGCAAAGGCAGGGAACAAATAAATATGCAATATAATGCCATATGCCGAGTACAGACATACCTAGGAGCCCAAAAGTATTACACATAAAGCCCCACGAATTCTAAAATATATTTTTTTAGACAACATATATTTTTTTAGATAATGGAATAGAATACCATCTCGGCCTTTGCTCAACGAGTTACAACCAATTATTACACCAATTCACTTAAGTCGTGCGCAGCTCAAAGAAAACTTATAGAAACACTCCCAAACATGAAGCAAACACAAACTAATAAACACCAATACAAGATAAAGAGTACACAATTATTGGATCCTATTTTTGAACCTCCTTTCGAAGTTGACAAAAAGCTGCATATGACTATTATCTCAAGATTACGACAACAGATGTTTTACTACCTGGCTTTTTTTAGAAAGCCAAACCAATAGGATACGATTCTAAAATGCATGCCATATATACACATGTAATGCACGTTGTCTTGTAAAATCTGCATTACTTCAGGTCTTCTGCAATAGGGTCTACATTCTATTATTTTTAGAAAGCCAAACCAATAGGATACGATTCTAAAATGCATGCCATATATACACATGTAATGCACGTTGTCTTGTAAAATCTGCATTACTTCAGGTCTTCTGCAATAGGGTCTACATTCTATTATCATGAAGATGGATCATCGATTCAATGAGGTATATATCATCTGTGTTGCTTGTTCCCTTGTCTTCTCTTGATCTAAGAGAGTCCTCTAAAGTTTAATGTCGATAAAATCGCATGATTGATGGAGATCTATGACCAAGATTTCTCACATTTTGACTTGAAACATTTATTCTACACGTGCAACGTATTGATATTTCCACTACGTGTCATGATCTTGGTAGTTTGGCCTTAAAGATAGTTGAAACGCAAATGCATATTGCTTTTTCATTGGTCTATCATCTTTATTGACTTAGCACTGCTTCTGCCTATATATGGCAATGGCAACGGTTAAATGAGTCTTTTGGGCGATGAATATAATACATATTTATGCAATAGGGTGTCCAATGAATGGTTCAATATTGTGCTACATTAAGAATGAGATTTTTAGAGGACTTGATTTTGAAAAGGTTATGCAGATATTTTAAGCCATGGGTGATTGAAGAATAGATTTGCCTAAGTCCCTACAGTCCCTAGAAAGGCTTAGTGATTTGATAGCAATATGTTTCTCATATATTAATCAATTTTAAATGATATCTCTCATCTATGTTTTATGAATTGACTTCTATTTGCAAATTGACGGGTTTACTTTTCTTTTGGTGTATGATGAAATTATATATGGAGCAAAGATTATTGCTTTATTTTAAATAAAAGGTATTATCTTGAATGTTCTTGTTTGCCTTGATTTATTAATTATACTATATTTTTATACGATTGAAATATAAATATGATATATGTTGCGTTCAGTTCTTCTTATGAAGTTAGCATCTCCGCCCCATCTTTTTTTAAAGTTGTGTCTGCCACTGGACCTGTTCATGCGTAACAACTTACATTTGCATTCTCTCTTCATACAAACTGCAGGTTACCAATGAAACTATGGTTAGGAAATAAATGGGTTCTATAGTGGTCCCCAATCCAAACTTTATATGGGAAAAACCCACCAAAATCACACCATGGGGGATGGGACACTTATAGCTTTCACACCCACTTGCTCCACACTATAGTTTACTTCTCTACTCACTCACCTATACATATCTGAGTTCACTACCAATAAAAAGCCATGTCAATCGGACAACCAAACACAAGGTGAGAATAGTTAACATAAGCTATCATGGATGCCATGCTCTCCTAGGAAACAATACAACCGATCATAGGAGAGAGGTTGGGAATGAGAAGAACCAGGACGAAACGAGAGACGGCAATGGCAACCTGCGGTGCCAGTATTGGGTCTGTTGGAAAGTTTAAGGTTTGTTGGTTCATCATCAAGGTTGGATATATCTATTTTTTTGAAAATATGGTTGTCCCGTTCTTTCCATTGGTTGTGTGGATGAGATGATCGCAGTTTTTTGTTTGGTTGGATGGATAAGTTTGGATAGAATGAAAATAAAAAGAATAATTAGTAATAAAATATGTTAATTGTGTCTAATCAACACTAAATAACAATGAAATAAAATAATTATGTCTAATCAATACAAATCTTGACTAATTACACTGGTGGAGAAACCATCTTTGGTCGGTCGACCAAATTCCACAATAGTCCCGGTTGCAATAAAAACCGGGACTAAAGATTATCTTTAGCCCCGGTTGAAAAGGTTAGAGCTACTTTTTGATCTTTAGTCCCGGTAGGTGATGTCAAACCCCTCTAATATCTTTAGTCCCGGTTGGTGTTACCAACCGGGATTAAAGATCAATCTTTAGTCCCGGTTGGTAACACCAACTGGGAAAAAAGATCGGCATGCGCGGAGAGATCGAGGCGTGCGGGATCGAGATACATATCTCCTCCTCGCCTGCTCCCTCCCGGTTCTATCTCTTCTTCTTCTCCCCATCTCCTCTCCTCCTCCCCCTCCCCCCACCTCCCGATCTGCAGGCGGCGGCGCCGCGCGAGGCTCCTCCTCCCCCTCCCCCCACTCATCCCCGATCTGCAGGTGCGGCACCGGCCTCGTGCGGCGGCCGGCGCGCGGCGCTGGCCGGCGGAAGGCGGAAGGCGGCGGCTGGGCGGCAGGCGGAAGATGGCGGCTTGTTTTGTTTTTTGTTTTTTTTTTGAGAATTTGTGATCGATGTATTTGATTTGTGTGTGATATGAATATGTGATGTATTTGTGATGAATTTTGTAGAAGTTGTGATGTAATTTTTATTTAATATTTTGTGATATATTTGGAGATGATCGATTTGAGGATTTGGAGGTGATAATTGATTTGGGATTTTGGGGATGGGGATGGAGTGAAATCAATATATTAAAAACAATGAAGAAAAGAATAGAATAAAAGAGCAGCCGGGGATCAGCCTGGCTCTATCTTTAGTCCTGGTTGGCTCTATCTTTAGTCCCGGATTTGTAGTCCGGGACTAAAGGGGGTTACGAACCGGGAGTAAAAACTACTTCTCCACCAGTGTTAATTACTGATTAACAACGAAATGATTCAACTGTCACTAATTAATTATTAGTAATGATCAAGATTAACTACAGTCGATAGTATTATCCAGCAATTTTCACGGATGAGCTTACCCAACATCTTAATGGAATATTCGCTGTATCAGCCGTCATTCACCCTTGCTAATCAATCAAATACACTGAAAATTTGAATGGTTAAATCCTATCCTGGGATATTTTTACAATCAAACATACACTTGAAAGAAATTTCTACAACTTTTGTATGGAGCATTTCTCCATATATAAACAGCCTCTAAGACCATGAAAAAATAGATCTAAACTGAACTGAACTTTTCAGAATTAAAACAGAGTACCGTGATTCTTAGATTCAACACGACCGCGTCATCAGGGCTGGCAAAACTATTAAAAGAGATCAATTACCTCAATCGGGACCAACTCGTAATAGGAGAAACCAACCTACTGATCCGTCTTTCTGCATTCTTCCCCTGTTCAGATTCCTCCCACCTCCTACTGCAGCAGCACAAGAAGGACAGCAGCAGCGTAAAAGAGGACACAAGTGTGGAAAGTATATGCATCGTAATATGTATTGAGCCAAGTAATGTTCAGCTTGTTCATTTTGTTATGTATAGGTATTAGTCTGCTTTCTATGATTTCTCTGTTGATCATCGGCCCAACTTTTGCGTGACTCGATCTCAGGAGGAAATAGAAAGATTGACAAAAACTAAGGGAGCTACACAATTCAAACAGGTGGTGGCTAAAATTTACAGCATATACACATCAATCGATGGTGGATCATGCATTAGGTTCCCAAAATTCAGGGTGGTGAATGTTTTTGTTATCTGACTGCTGTGTAGTTTCTCGGAGATGGAAACATCTTTTTTTTTTCATTTCTAAGACTAGAGTTATGGTTTGTAAATTATAATAGCAAAAATCAGAAAGGGTTTTAACTCAACATTTCATGTTCATGATGTACTGCATAGTACCTGAAATAGCTTATTACTATCAGCAGTCCGTTAAAAAAGAGACAGCTTAACCAGAAATAATAAGAACAATCCTTCCAGTAGCATGTTTGTAATAGATCGACTTTAGTTATTTTCTTCTTCTATTTTCTTTCCGATTCATCATATTTCTTGGAATGGATCGATCGATGCGGATCAAAGAATAATTTTGATCTTGCTTAGCACTTCTAACATGCTGCCGTGACTACTTTCAAAGTATTTATTTCCACATTTCGTACTGAAACATCCAATATTATAGTATCAAAAGTCAATGGAATATATAGAACTATAGAAGTGGCTCCATATTCCATCTCCATTTTCCTGGTGCTTCCAATTCCGATAACCAGACGAACAAAACTGGTTGGTATGGATGAGGCGATGATATCGGCATGTAAACGATAATGATTGTTCTGGAGACTGTTACTTTGTCATCGTTTATAAATTGTCTGCAAATTAAAGACCAAATTGTTGCAAATTAAAATCATCAACATGATACTTTTTTCACCTTTGTTTTCTTCTATTTTGTTTGTATTTTCCAGTTCATGCAGTGACCAGATATTTTTACCAATCCATAAATATTTCATCAATAAAAGGCATTGCAACAAAGTAACTGTATCTATAACGTAACAACTGATCACATTGGTACCAATAAATGTGTTAATTATAGCAGATCATTCATTACGATTTGTATATGTGTGTTTTTATGACAGGCAAAGAGGACCTTGGACGTAATACCTGCTTAGAACACATAGTAAATTACATGGTTAAAGAAGAACCACTAGATAAATTTTAGATTCCAAGTGGGACAAGTAAAAAAGCACTCATCCTCTCTGTGCAGCAAAACAATATCAATGGAAAATTAAAGTACACTTTAAGTCATTTGCACATAGCTAGCGCACGTAACTCTTTGTGATAAATAGCTCACCCTGTTGTTTCACTCCCTAACTATTAAGCTCGATATAGCATCAACAATCTTTTGAGTCGATCTGAACTCGATGACAATAATGTATGCTTTGAAGATTCTTTTGGCAAAATTGTACTGCACGCTATATTCTTGATACTAGCTAGCTAAATTTTACGATCCCCATTTTCTTGACACCTCCAAATCCAACGATTTGCCACCCCCAAGAAAACAGGTGTGTATTTTTTCTCGAACGCGCAAAAGGATTGCATGTCAATATATTAGAAGAATAGAATGTTTGTTACACGACGCAAACAGTCAGTCCGACTTATGCCAAGAAAAGGGGAAAAAAGACTAAAATAAAGAAGAGACGAAAGACTACTGTGACGGCTACACACAACTCCAAATAGCTGGGAGGGGGCAGAGCCACTACCTTCCCAGAAGAACCCCAAAATTAGTGATACCAGCTAAAGACCAAAGGTGGCCCTCAGAGAGGATGGACTCAAGGACCTCCGAGACCAATGACAACGCAGAGTCGAAAACTCTAGAGTTCCACTCTTTCCATAGTTGCCAAGAGACCAGGAGGACCATAGAATCGAAACTGGCTCGGAGATGCCCCGGCAAGCAAACCCTAGAAGAAGGTCACCAAGCAAACCCAGCTACCCCGGGGAGGAGAGAGGGCAGTCCAACCAAGAGGCGACAGCACACGGAGCCAAACTTGCCGAGCGAACACGCAATCGAGGAGGATGTGGTTCGCTGTCTCAAGCTCTTGACCGCAGAAGGGGCAGGCCGAATGACTATCCAAGCCGCGCTTTAGGAGGAGGTCGGCCGTCCAGCAGCACCGCTGAAATGCAAACCAGAGGAAGAACATGCATTTAGCAGGACCCTTCGCGTGCCAGAGAAGATCAGCATAGGCAAAGGAGTGCTGGCCAAAAAAGAAGGCCTGGTACACTGAACGCGCAGAGTAGCGCTGGTCGCTCGTCCAACGCTAAACAAGACGGTCTCTGACACCCGGCGAGAGCTGAATTCGAAGCGCAGCATCCCAGATAAGAAGAAACTGGGAGATGACAGGGACAGTGAGGGCCCCGCGGATGTCCGAAACCTAGGAGTTGTTCGCCAGGCCAGAAGTAACCGTGCGCGAATGGAGGCGCTGTGGCACAGCGAAGAGGAGGTCAGGAGCCAAGGAGGCCACTGAGCAGCCTCCATCAATCCAATGGTCGGTCTAGAAGAGCATAGGCTCACCATCCCCCGGCACGAAGAAGGTGGACGCCTCGAACATGTTGGAGACAGATCGCTCGACCGAGGCCTTCAAGACATCCCAAATAGGGATGCCCGGAACGCTGAAGCCAAAGCCAGCGAACGCGCAGGGCGAACCCTGCCAACCTGAGGTTAGGAATTCCTAACCCACTGAAGGCCTTAGGACGACAGACATTCGTCCAGGACACCCGGCACTGCCCCCCATGAACCAAATCCGTACCCGCCCACAAGAAGGCGCGTTGCTTCTTGTCAATGGCCTTAACAACGCAAGCAGGAAGGCCGATTGCCATAGACACATGGACTGGAATGGAGGAGAGAATAGACTGGACCAGCACGGAGCGGCTAGCAAGAGTGGTGAGACGCCCCTTCCAAGGTGGTAGGCGATGAGCGACCCTGTCCACCAGCGGCTGAAGAGTCGCCTTCGGCAACTTGCGAATGGACAGCGGAATGCCGAGGTAGGTGCAAGGAAAATCAGAAATTGAGCAGGGGAAGCAAGAGTGAACCAGCTCCAAGTCCTCATCCGAGTAGCGGATAGGAGTGTAATCGAGCATTTGGCAAAATTGGTGCGCAACCCGGATGCCGCACCAAAGACCGAGAGAATAACCTGGATGAACTCGAGATCCTGCTGAACCGGGGAGAGGAAGAGGACCAAGTCATCAATGTAGAGGGAGGCGCGGTGTCGCAAAGCGCGATCATTAAGCGGAAGGAACCCGCCTGAATCAGAGGCTTTACGAAGCATCGCATTGAGCACTTCCATGACTAGAATGAAAAGCATAGGAGAAAGAGGGTCTCCTTGCCGAAGACCCCTCCGGTGATGGAAGCGCGGACCCGGCACCCCATTGATCAGCACCCGGGAAGAGGAGGCGCTAAGAATGAGGGAGATCCAATCACGCCATCGCTGACTGAACCCTAGATGGTACTTTCTCTTCTTAAAGAATCCAGAGAACCGAACCAAATTTGGGGAACAAGTTGGAACAAAAAAGAGTGGCAAGTATGCAGTTTTAAATCGCACTTTCTGAATCTTCGTTATCATTTTTAACACCCAAGCAATTATAAACGATTACAAGCTTGCTCGAGGAAGCACCTTTGGTGCTGTGCTGGAGTTGTGATGTATGACTTTATCTACTAGTTATGTCGACATTGGGCACAATTTTTGCACATCGGACACGCATTCAGTAGAAATTACTAATGTCGGAGATTTATCATTTGCATCTGTCTATTGAGTGTGTGTTAAAGGATAACACATATGTTGATGTGTGTGTGCGATGTGTTTGTGTGTGTGGTGCTATATGTATAGTCTTCAAAGAGAGAAGTATATTTTGCGGCATTAACTAAATTCCTTATCGATTTATTATTTTCTAACTAGAAAAAGGTATTTAGGTACAGTTTCATTCTAGTTTGATTGTGTATTCAATCACACACATTCAAGAATCCTTGGGATGAAGACACCATATTTTATTTGGGAAGAATGAATTTATCATTCTACCAAAAGTGTTTAGTCGTACTTTTTTTGTTAGAGATAATAAATCCTGTGTTGGAAAACTAGATCCTCGAACTGTAAAGTGCACTTACAGGCAATTCATCTGGCCATTTGTTCAGAATGATGAACATTTGTCAGTATGGATGTTGCTTTTAGGGAATCCGTCCCATTTCATGTAGAGATGACAAAATTGAGTTGTTTATTTATTAATCTTAATGAATCAACTAGTGATGATCATGATCACCAACATGTGTGTTAAACCCCACAAGGTCCATCTCCCCATATGCTTGTATATGTATTAGGAAAGGTTAGAAGAGAGAATTGTGAAGCTTCCACTTGAAAAACTCACCGAGTCATCAAGTGGCCATTCGCTATCTCTATTTTCCCAATACCTCCAATTCCAATACTTATTCACTCATCCTATCAAAATCAAGTATACTTGTCTACTCATATCTAGCTATTGATGATTGGAAGCTTGTCCCTAGAGCAATGTCTGAAACAAAGATGATGTGATTAAGTTAGTATCATTTCTCCCGTTCTGATTGTGTACAACTCCTGTACTTCTGAGGCAATACGTCCTCAATATGAAACAAGCCTCTTCAATATATCTGGAAATTTAGAAGTTGTGCTTGAGAGGTGAATTTTTTATGGAAATTTAGAAGTAGTGCTTGAGAGTTGAAATTTTTATGACAGAACAGCAGGGCTTTGTGCCCCTGATTGTGTATTTGTTCTTGGAAAGAAGTTGTTTCCTCATAAGTTCAAGTTGAAGCTTCATGCATATCAATATACATTATTACTATCTGAAAATTTGAATCGACTTTTCTGTCAATAGTGGCATAATATTGCTGTGCACATCAATCTATCTACTCTTTTGTAAATTTTGACCTTTCATAATTTACAAATGAGATAGGTGATTTTACAAAAAAAAAAAAGTATAGGAGCGAACGCGTTACCTATATAAAGAGATGGACACCCTTACTAGTCCTCAGCAAGGTTGACAAATGCAAAGGTAATCACACGGTTATCAGACTTTCCATGTTTTTCTTTTCTCAAACACATCTTGTGAAGTTGAAAAAAAGAACTGAAATTCAAATTTTCAAGAGAATATGTCTAAATTCATTGTCTTTTGTCGGCAAAAGAAAGTGAGTGACGACATAATTTTACAACCACTACCCTTTAATATTTGTCACTGTAATAAGTGTCTGTAACATCTTTTGTTTAGCAGTTTAGCAGTTTGAAAGTGACATCTTATGTCGGTAACAGAAAGAGAGAGATGCCGTACTTGATGAAGCATCAAAGCATCATAAACAGCAATC